TAGTCAGTCTATTGGGGTAGATTTGTACGCCATTACGAAGAATGAAGTTTATATGTTTAAATTTTTTGTAAGAATTTGAAAATGATATAATAAGAATTTGTAGTGATAGATAAACTGTATGATTCTAGTTTATTAATGAATTTTATACATGGAATTGTACATGAAACGACTGCACCATACTATCTTGCAATGAATGGTAAAACAAAAAGAAAGAATAGAACTCTTACTGAACTTGTTGTTGCAATTATGATGAATTCTAGTGCTGCACCTCACTGGTGGGGGAAATTTTATTGACTGTTTACTATGTCCTGAATAGAGTCCCCAAGTCAAAATGTAAGATCTCTGCTTATGAGATATTAAAGAAAAGACAACCAAACTTGTCTTATTTGAGAACTTGGGGTTGTCTGACTTATGTCAGAATTCCGGATCCGAAACGAGTTAAACTCGCTAGTAGAGCATATGAATGTGTTTTCATTCGGTATGCAACAAACAGTAAAGCATATAGGTTTTATGACCTAAAGGCAAAAGTGATCATAGAATCAAATGATGTTGAATTCTATGAAGACAAATTTCCTTTCAAATTGAGAAATAGTGGGGACACACAATCGAGTCACATTCCTGTGATAAGAAGCACAAAAAGCAACGACAATGTAGAAACAAAACTTCGACGAAGTAAACGAGTAAGAGTTGCTAAAGACTATAGGCCTGATTATGCGGCTTATAATGTAGAAGAAGATCCAATGAATCTTCAAAAAGCCTTGTCATCTCTGGATGTTTATTTATGGCAAGAAGCTATCAATGATGAGATAGAATCTCTAGAATCTAACAAGACCTGACACTTAGTAGACTTGCCTCCTGGTTGCAAACCAATCGATTGTAAATGGGTTTTGAAAAAGAAACTAAAACCTGATGGAACTATTGATAAATACAAGGTTCGCCTTGTTGCCAAGGGTTTTAGACAAAGAGAAAATATAGATTTCTTCGACACCTTTTCTCCTGTCACTAGAATTACATCCATTAGGGTACTTATTTCAATAGTTGCTATTTATAACTTAATAGTACACCAAATGGATGTTTTAACTTTTTTAAACGGTGACTTGGAAGAAGAAATCTATATGAAACAACCGGAAGGGTTTGTGATCTATGGATAAGAAAACAAGGTCTGTAAGTTAGATAAGTCTTTGTATGGGCTAAAACAAGCTCCAAAGCAATGGCATGTAAAGTTTGATAACTTAATGATATCGAATGTGTACAAAGTGAATGAAAGTGACAAATACGTTTATTACAAATTTGAGAATTGTATTTGCACTATCATATGTCTATATGTAGACGATCTACTCATATTCGGATCAAACATTCAGGCCATTAATGATATGAAATCATTGTTGTGCAACAACTTTGATATGAAAGACCTCGGAGAAGTGAGTGTGATTCTTGGTATCAAGATCACAAAATCGGAGCAAGAAATTTCTTTGGATCAATCACAATATGTGAAAAAGATCCTAAAAAAATATAATTACTTTGACAGTAAACCTGTGAGCACACCAAATAATCCAAGTGTGAAGCTTTTTAAGAACACTGGTGAAAGTGTTAGACAAACAGAACATGCGGGCATCATTGGAAGTCTTAGGTATTCCATTGATTGTACTAAACTTGACATTGCATATGTCGTGGGATTGTTGTGCGGGTTTACTAGTAAACTGAGTAATGAATATTGGCAAGCTATTGAGCGAGTCATACGGTACCTTAAAAGGACCATGATCTCGGTTTACATTATCAGAGATTTCCTATTGTATCTGAAGGATACAATGATGCAGATTGGAATACCTTATCAGATGATTCCAAAGGAACTAGTGGCTATGTATTTAACATAGCTAGAGGAGTTGTATCTTGGAAATCAAAGAAACATACTATCTTGAGAATATAGCATTAGCGACTGCTAGTGAAGAAACAGGTTGGTTAAGATACTTGCTAACTGAGATTCCCTTATGGGAAAAACATATGTCAGTTGTGTTGATCCACTGTGATAGTACCGCGGCTATTGCAAAAATTGAGAACCGTTATTATAATGGTAAAAAACGTCAAATAAGAAGAAAGCACAACACTGTTAGAGATTGTATCTCTAAAGGAGTTGTAAGAGTGGATCATGTACGCACTGATGAAAATTTAGCAGATCCTTTGACGAAAGGATTGGCTAGAGAGAAAGTATAATACATCATATAAGATGGGACTAATGCCTAAAGGAAAATGAGTTGCTCATGATGGTAACCCGACCTAAATGACTGGAGATCCCAAGAAATAGGTTCAATGGGTAACAACAAGTTGTGAGTAATATGAGATGATCATGCAAGTAAAGCATGAATCCTGAAGTAATAAGATGATGGGATAATAGAAACTCTTAACGAGATCTATACTCTGTATGAGGGAGTACCTAGGCTACAGGAGTACTCTTGATAGACTCACCTATGTGATTGTGGAACTTAGGCCGGTTCCTATGGAATTTCGAGGCAGAATTCCTAGAGCCTTCATTAAACTGGGATACACGTGCAAGGCCATTAAAGCACGGGCTATTAGAATACACCTTAAGAAAAGGTTGTGTGCGGGTTTGATGTCTGAGATAGAGTTCAAGACATTTGTGTCACTCTTGTTGAATTGAAATCCTACTTGCTATGCAAAGGTTCAAGTCGTAGACACCTTTGTTTATGCACAATCTTAGAAACGTTTGACGTTACTTCTAAAATCAATTTTTTAAATTCAAGTGGGGGATTGTTGGAACATGTCCATGTTCTAATATATTGAATTTAAAAATTTCTCAAGTCCCACATTGTTAGAATATCTTTTTGGTTGAAAAAATCATTTAGTCCCACATTGCTCATGTGAGAAATATTAACTATATTACTTCACTATATAAGGAGTGCACATGTTTCATTCCAAATCACACCGAAAACTATTCTATTAGTTTTTCCTTCCTCACTCTCATAATTCTGCGTCTCTCGAATTGTCGAAGTGCCGTCTTATTCCCCTTTCTTCCTACTCGTTGAATTTTTCGAGTATTTTCTTGAATTCTCTTTAGAGAATTATGTTAATTTCTCCTCATTTGAGAATTTTCAAGTTTAATCTTTTGGATTCTCTTTGGCGAATTATTTGAATTTCTTTGTTGGAGAAATTATTATGAGTGGTCAAATGACCATTATTAATTTCTCTTTGGAGAATTATTTGAGTTTCTTTTTGTTTGAGAAATTATTATGACTGATCTTTGTACCAGATACTACGAGTGATGTTGATACCATATTTGAATGGTCTTGTACCATCAGAGGGTGTATTTTTAAACCGATTATCTATCATGCAAGTAGTAATCGTACAATATAGAACTGAGCTGTTTTATCCTGGAGGCGGCGCAGTAGTTCGACTGCTTTGCATAATTTTGAGCAGTGTCGCGAAACGTCTTAAAGAGAGCGACCTAGTTCGCGACTCAACCTGGTAATTTCTTCGGTGACAAATATTTTAAAATCTGAAAAGAACAACTGTTATTAATTTAGTGTGAAGGAACAGAATGATCAATGCAAACGATTTTAACAGTTTGTCGGAATCCGGGCTGCAAGCGCTCATGATAGTTAAGAGAGTTTACTTTGTAATTCGTTCCCATTTCAGTAATATTATTACCTTTCTTTTCTTTTTTCTCTCTCTCTGGTTTGGGTCTCTATATCTCAATAAGTATATTATTTGGTCCAATTGCTTTGCCATTATCCATCTCTCTGGTTTGGGTCTCTATATCTCAATAAGTATATTATTTGGTCCAATTGCTTTGCCATTATCCATCTTCTTCAAAGTTATCCATCCTCTTCAAAGTTATTTTTACCTTCTTCTCATATATATTATAAAAGGTATTACTTTGATCTTTCTCTATAATGTTTATCCTATTAAAGTTTGATAAAGCATGTATCCTTCATTAAAAGTTGTTTGTGAAAATAACTCTTCCACCTTTTCTTGATATCTTATTTCACCTCTAAGAAATTTGCTCGAACATATAGTTTTCTAAGTAGGCAGTTTATTTGCTGGAATACATGGTTCTCCATGAGTTTTTAAGGCAAGCTGAAATATATTTTATATCTGGTTTTACTTTTTTTTTTCTTTATAAAAAAAATCCTTCAACTATTTTCCCTGATGATGCTCATCTTTCTCATGCAAAAGAACATTTATAGGGGTTTAGGTTGTAGCTTTGACAATGGCAAGTCAATGTTGATATCTTTATGATTTACAACGATGTTAATGGCACTCAATGCCATGAAAATCATCATTCACCGCATGAATTACCTTGTTCTTAGGCTTTAATTCAAATATTCAGCTTAAATATTATTTGTTAGTGCAAATTTTGTCTTGTGCGCTGAATGCTATTGTATTTCAGGCTTCTTTCATGCCCGTTCTCGTGTTAGCAGCAAGATTATGTCCTGAGGGGATGGAAGCAACTCTTTTTGCAACTCTCATGTCTGTATCTAATGGAGGGAGTGTCCTTGGGGGATTGATAGGTGCAGGCCTGACTCAAGTATTTGGAATTACTAAGGACAAATTTGATAACTTGGCAGCTTTGATAATCCTCTGCAATCTTAGCTCATTATTGCCTCTGCCACTTCTTGGTCTTCTCCCCGGCGACAACCCTGATGATAATCTGACGGACAACGATTCTGAAATTGAAATGAAGAGTAATTGATCCTAGTTGTTTTTTTTCTGACCTTCCCAGGGGTTGGCTGTCTTAGCCATGTTTTTCTCTTAATGCTTGCAGATTAAAAAGGCATCACTTCCACGCGCACGCGCAGATAGAGTCTTGTTGTATATAGTATGATGCTAAAGTTGCCGCAAGGGCCTTGTTTTAAACCATCTTGATTATATGTTTTAGTAACACAAGATCAAAATTCACTTCAGAACATTTGGTTGTGGCGAAAGTGCAATGTTATGAACCTTGAGACAATGTTGTACAATATGCTTCAGATTGAGACAAGACAATGCCAGCCACCAACGACAAGGTATCTGTCCCTCGAGAACATTCACGGGCTTATTTTGTAAGTTTTGTAGAGTACTTTTTCGCTTTTGCTTAATCTTTTCGCCTTTTACTTCTTTGTAAGGACTAAAAGCTTTGTATTTAATAGCCAATAATCTTCTTTTGACAATGGAAGCTGATGTGTTTTAGGCTTCTCTGTCGTGTTTCTACAAGCTTTTGTTATTGTCATTTAACTAAAGTAGATAACAGGTTACATGTTTTACTTTAGTGTTTCTTTCTAGAAGCTTTTAGGGTGTATCCTAGTAGTGGTGGAGAGAAAGAGTATTTCAAGATTATAAAAAACCAAAGTTGCTAAAAGTCGAAAAGCAACAGAAAGATCGACGAAGGACGTCGTAACCGCAACAATGGCGGTCTAGTGGTTGCTCACAGTAACGGAGGAGCCACTATGGCAGGGCCAATGGTCCATGGTGCGACAGTGGTCGAACAGAGTCCGGCAGGTACTGGTGGCTGGGTTCGAGCGGGGGGCGATCCTTGGGCATCAGATTTGGTTTGTGAGGTTCGCAAAAATTGAGCCTGGCTGTTTCGATTCACCAATCCGTTCACCAATCCGTTCGATTATGATCCATGTGTTAGAATATTATAATAATAATTAATATCAAATATGATACTTGAGAGATACTCAAAATTAATCATATTATAGCTATTTATAATATTATAACATTGTGTTTTTTTTTGTCCGTTATGAATATGTTGAGTTTCAATGGATATGTTAAGTTATCATTCCTTTTAATGAACCTTGAGAATGTAGTATGAAAGACGATGGAAAAAGGTGACAATTCTAGAAGAAATTTAGAGAGTCAAAGGTAGAAATTTTAGAATTTAGAAAACCTTTGGAGGTAACTAATGGAATTATGAAATACTTCTAAATATTGAGTTTGTGTGATTCATATGTAAAATTTAAGAGATTGTTAAATATCTAGGTAGAAAATATGATTTGTTCTTAAGAATTTGAGTGATTATTTTTTTGTAATTCTTTTGTAATAATTTATGGTAATAATTTTTTGGAAGTATAATGAATTTGAGAATTACTCTCTTTTAAAGTAGATCGGTTTGATCGAATTAGATAAATAAGTTTATTTATATTATTGTCTTCATCTTGTTGATTTTCTTTATTAATTATGTGCTTTTGTAACTGTTAGATTTTTTACTATTTTATTTTATTGTTTCAGTTTTTAGCAATCTAGTCAATTAGTGGTTGCTATAATTTAGGAGCAAACTAGTAGTAGTTGCTATACTTTAGGAACAAATTAGTTTAATTATTCAATTCCCTAAAATCCTGGTTACGTGGGATAACTTTTAGTTTTTCTTTTCCATTATTTATTGTAACATTTCTATCGATCAAATCAATACAATTCCTTTCCTTTAATATACTGTTTCTCTACTTCTCTGCCACTATATTTGTTATTTTCTGCCATTAAACTAACAAATTGGTATCTAGAGCCTTCTTCTTAGAGGGACCTGTGAGTGAACCCAGTAAAAATCCACCATAATAAACCTTGCTTAAATTCATCAAATAGATGGATTCTGAAACTTCTTACACAAAACTAGCATCGCCTGTGTTTGATGGTGATAATTATCACATATGGGCAGCAAGAATGAAGGCTCACCTAGAAGCAAATGACCTTTGGGAAGCCGTTGAGGAAGACTATGAAGTTCTTCCTTTGCCGAACAATCCAACCATGGCTCAGATAAGAAATCACAAGGAGAAGAAAGCAAGAAAGTCAAAAGCAAGAGCTACTCTGTTTGCTGCTGTCTCACAAGACATTTTCACCAGAATCATGACGATTAAATCGACATTTGAGATCTGGAATTTCCTCAAGGAAGAATATGAAGGAGATGAAAGAATCAAGGGAATGCAAGCAATGAATCTGGTTAGAGAATTTGAGATGCAGAAAATGAAGGAGTCTGAAACAATTAAGGAGTATGCAAACAGACTTCTTAACATTGCTAACAAGGTGAGGTTGTTAGGTTCTGATTTTTCTGATTCACGAATAGTTCAGAAAATACTAGTGACTGCTCCTGAAAAATTTGAAGCTTCTATTACTTCATTGGAAAATACTAAGGATCTTTCAAAGATCACATTGGCAGAACTTGTAAGTGCTATGCAGTCCCAAGAGCAGCGAAGGTTGATGAGACAAGATGGTGCAGTCGAAGGTGCTTTACGAGCCAGGCACCATTATGGAGAAACCAGTAGAAATAAGCATGTCAAGAAGAACCAACCATCAAGCAGCGAAAATAGTGCAAATAACCAAAACAATGGTAGGGGTAAAAAGAAAAACTACCCACCTTGTCAGCATTGCGGAAAGTTGGGTCACCCACCATACAAATGTTGGAAACGACCAGATGCGAAGTGTAGTAAATGCAATCAGCTTGGACATGAAGCTGTAATTTGTAGGAGCAAATTTCAGCAGCAACCTGAAGCTAATGCCCAAGTTGTTGAGCAAGATGAAGAAGATTATATTTTTGCTGCAACATGCTATTCGACGAGGAGTAATTCTGAATGCTGGTTGATTGATAGTGGTTGTACGAATCACATGACATATGACAAGACTCTATTCAAGGACTTGAAGCCCACTAATGTTTCAAAGGTCAGAATAGGGAATGGTGGCTATATTACTGCAAAAGGAAAAGGAACCATTGCAATTTCAACGTGTTCAGGTACCAAAATTATATCTGATGTTCTTTATGTACCTGGCATCGACCAAAACTTGTTAAGTGTAGGTCAGTTGATTAAAAAGGGATTTAAAGTATTCTTTGAAAATCAACATTGTCTTATCTACGACACTGCTGGTCGGGAAGTTCTACGGGTTAAAATGAGAGGTAAAAGCTTCTCGTTTGATCCAACAAAGGAGGAGCAGGCGGTCTATTTTACTCAAGTCAGTCCCACAGAACTCTGGCACAAGAGACTTGGGCATTGTCATCTTGAAAGAATGCTGAACTTGCAAAGAAAAGGCATGTCAAGAGGTCTGCCAATACTTTCTGATAATTTACCAAATTATAATGCTTGTCAATTTGGTAAACAAATAAGAAAATCATTCCCCAAATCAGCTTGGAGAGCTTCTTAAAAGATGCAGCTTGTTCACATTGATGTGGCAGGACCCCAAAGAACACCATCACTACAAGGTAGTATATACTTCATTCTTTTCATAGATGATTTTACAAGAATGTGCTGGATATTCTTTTTGAAATTTAAGCATGAAGTGGCTGGAGTATTTACGAAGTTCAAGAAAATGGTGGAAACTCAAAGTGGCTGCAAGATTCAATGTTTAAGATTTGACAATGAGACAGAGTATACATTAACAAAATGTAATCACTTTTGTGAAGAAGCTGGTATTGAGCATCAACTCACAGCCCCTTACACTCTAGAGCAGAATGGGGTTAGTGAAAGGAGAAATAGATCGGTGATGGAGATGGCTAGATGCATGCTGCATGAGAAGGAGTTGCCAAAAACATTTTGGGCAGAGGTGGCTAACACAACGGTCTTTCTCCAAAATCGGCTCCCAACCAAAGTTTTGATGGATAAAACTCCATTTGAGGTTTGGTATGGGTATAAGCCGTCACTAACCTTTCTTAAAGTGTTTGGTTGTGTTTGTTTTGCACATGTTCCATAGGTTAAGCGTGACAAACTTGACAAGAAGGCAACTCCGAGCATCTTTGTGGGTTACAATTCAGTTTCAAAGGCCTACAAAGTGTATCATCCTCAAACCGGAAAGATGACTGTTAATAGAGATGTGCACTTTAATGAAGAACAACAATGGAATTGGAAGAACTCACAAAGAACAACTAAACTATTTGGCAACATTGATGATAAGCATCCGGGACAGCAAACAACAGAGTTATTGTAGGATGAATTAGAAGACGACCCTCCAGTCAGAGGCAAAAGGCTGTTATCTGACATCTATCAAAGATGTAATGTAGCAGTTTGTGAACCTACTAGCTGCGAGGAAGCACAAAAGGACCAGAAATGGAAAATTGCAATGGAGGAGGAGATATCCATGATACAGAAAAACAAAACATGGGAGCTGGTTGACATGCCTTAAAATAGAAAAGTCATTGGAGTTAAATGGGTTTTCAGAATAAAGCTTAATGCAGATTGCTCAATCAACAAGCACAAGGCCAAACTCGTAGTTAAAGGGTATGCACAAATTTTTGGTGTTGATTATTCTGACACTTTTGCTCCTGTGTCCAGATTAGATACAATTAGATTGGTGTTAGCAGTTGCTGCGCAAAATGGCTGGAAAATATTTCAGTTAGATGTTAAATCAGCTTTTTTTAAATGGAGAGCTACATGAAGAAATATATGTAGACCAGTCAGAAGGATTCGTGAAGCAAGGTAAAGAAGATAAAGTCTATCTTCTAAAAAAGGCTCTCTATGGCCTCAAACAAGCGCCAAGGGCTTGGTACAGCAAAATTAATGATCACTTATTGAGCATAGACTTTGCAAAAAGCGTATCTGAGTCCACACTTTATGTGAAACATAAGGGAAATAATTTTCTCATAGTTTCCCTCTATGTGGATGATCTTTTAGTGACAGGAGATGATGCAAGGCTAGTTGACGAGTTCAAGCAAGAAATGATGCAAGCTTTTGAAAGGACAGATCTTGGTCTCATGACCTATTTTCTTGGAATTGAGATCAAACAAAGTGAGAATGAAGTGTTAATTTGTCAAAGAAAATATGCAAAGGAAATTTTGAAAAAAATTTCAAATGGAGGAATGTAAATCTGTTAGCACACCAATGAATCAAAAGGAGAAGTTTAGCAAGGATGATGGTGCTGAAAAAATTGATGAAGGATATTACAGAAGCTTGATTGGATGTCTAATGTATCTCACTGCAACAAGGCCGAGCATTCTATTTGCGGTAAGTCTCTTGTCTCGTTTTATGCACTGTCCAAGTGAAATTCATTTGCAAGCAGCAAAAAGAATATTGAGATATGTTAAAGGCACTATTGATTATGGAGTCAAATTTGATAAGTGTCAAGAATTCAAGTTGTATGGATTCTCTGATAGTGATTGGGCTAGATCCATTGATGATATGAAGAGCACTTCAGGATACTGTTTCAGCCTAGGCTTAGGAGTATTCTCATGGTGCACAAAGAAGCAAGAGATTGTAGCACAGTCCACCGCTGAGACTGAATTTATAGCAGCAACAGCCGCTGTAAATCAAGCTTTATGGTTGAAGAAGATTTTATGTGATTTATCTTTGCAGCAGAAGAACAAAACAGAAATTTTTGTTGACAACCAGACTGCAATTGCTATTGCAAACAATCCAGTATGTCACGGGAAGACTAAACAAGCTCTATTTTTTGAGAGAGATGCAACAAAGTGGAGAAGTAAACCTAGTTTACTGCAAGTCTGAAGATTAATTGGCTGACATGTTTACAAAGCCATTACCTATCAGCAAATTTGAATATCTAAGGCAACTGATTGGAGTTTGCAGTTCCTAAAGCAAGGAGGAGTATTAATCATGTGCTTTTGTAACTGCTAGATTTTTTACTATTTTATTTTATTGTT